ATTCCCACAGATCCCTTCATGGATTTCTCGCAAGGCATAGTGAGCTTCTTCAGGTGAAAGACATCGTAACCATGACAAGGAATAGTCTCTCTTGTATAGAGTGTCCTGCAAGATGGCAAACTTGGAAACCCTTATCCTTAGCTTCCTGGCCTCTAGGGGATCATCTGGCTGCACACCCTCTTGGAGGTATGCCCTGATTTGGGTCATCCAGTCTGACTCAGTAGATACACAGTCAATATTTGTGACCTCCATGTCCATCCTGCTCGGCTTACACTGGTGACCAATTAGTGCTGGTTCCCCTGATGAGGCTTCCATGGATGAAGCGAGCTTTGCAAGTGCATCGGCAGCCATATTATCCTCTCTGGGGATGTGATTTATCTGGAAGTAGTGGAATTTTGTGATCATGTTTCTAGCCATGCTAAGATATTCTTGTATTTTGGCTCCTTTGGCTTCGAACTCGCCCCTCACTTGATTGACTATCAGCTGAGAGTCACTGTAGGTGGCAAGGTGTTGAACCTCCATTTCCATTGCTAATCTTAATCCAGAAAGGAGGGCTTCGTATTTCGCCTCATTATTGGAAGCATAAAAGTGGAGCTTCATCGCATATCTGAGAGTGGTGCCATCTGGGCTGATCAAGATTATGCCCGCTCCTCCTCCTTCACTAGTCGAGGAGCCATCTACGTAGAGTTTCCAAAGCAGATGAGTGGAGAATTTAGAATTTGAAGTGGAAGACCGGGGAGGTGCAGTCTGTGGTGCCTGGGCATCCGGAGGTGCAGCCTGTGGTGCAGGAGCTAGAGGTGCAGCCTGTGGTGCAGGAGTTAGAGGTGCAGCCCGGGATGCCTGGGCATCCGGAGGTGCAGCCTGTGGTGCAAGAGTTAGAGGTGCAGCCTGGGATGCCTGGTCATCAGAAAAAGTTGTTTGGGCTCCTAGGGAAGAGACTTGGGCGCCTGCTTGAGGGTATTTGTTAGGCTTCTTGATGTCTCCGTTGGGCATTTGGGGATCCTCATCATTCCCATCTTCTATTGGTGTGAGTTCAGCTATGAAATCTAATAGGGCTTGTGCTTTGATGGCCGTCCTAGGTTGGTACTGAATGTTGAACTCCCCGAGTTCTACTGCTCATTTAAGAAGTCTGCCAGATACGTTTAGTTTTTTCAAGATTTTTTTAAGAGGTTGGTCGGTGATGACCACCATACCATGGCCCTGGAAGTAGTGTCGTAGCCGTCTCGCTGTCGTGACCAGAGCGAGTGCCAATTTTTCTAGTGCTAAATATCTGACCTCTGCCCCCCGGTATGCCCTGCTCCCGTAATAAACTGGTTTCTGTACTCCATTGTCGTTTCTGACGAGCACTAAGCTTACCGCTGATGGGGAAGCAGAAAGGTATAGATGGAGAGTTTCTCCAGGGGTAGTATGTGACAGGAGGGGAGGTACTGCTAGGTAGGCTTTGAGACTTTGAAAAGCCTCATCTGCCTCAGGTTTCCACTCAAAGGCTTTTCGGAGAGTTTTGAAAAAAGGGAGACATTTGTCTGCAGATTTGAAGACAAACCTATTTAATGCTGCGATTTTTCCATTAAGGCGCTAGAGCTCCTTAGTTGAGGAGGGTGACTTCATGTCAAGAATGACCTTGATCTTGTCAGGGTTCGCCTCAATTCCCCTCTGATTGACCATAAAGCCCAGAAATTTACCAGACCCCACACCAAAGGCGCACTTCTCAGGGTTGAGCTTCATGTGATAGGACCTCAGGACGTTGAAAATTTTTTGGAGGTGATCAATGTGGTCTACTACTGCAAGGCTCTTTACTAGCATGTCATCCACGTACACCTTCATTGTTTGTCCGATCTGAGACTGGAACATCTTGTTCACCAGCCGTTGGTAGGTTGCTCCAGCGTTCTTTAGCCCAAAGGGCATGACCCTGTAGCAGTATGTCCCCTTTGGCGTGATGAATGATGTCTTCTCTTGGTCTGGGAGATGCATGCTAATCTGGTTGTACCCCGAGTATGTATCCAGGAAAGTGAGCAACTTATACCCAGTGGTGGCGTCGATGAGGAGGTCAATCTGCGGTAGTGGATAACTATCTTTTGGGCATGCCTTGTTTAGTTCGGTGAAGTCGCCACAGAGGCGCCACTTCCCATTAGCCTTAGTAACCATTACTACGTTGGAGAGCCACTCCGGATACGCCACTTCCCTGACTACCCCGTTATCAATCAGCTTTCTAACCTCCTTGTCCATGGCTTGGGCCCTTTCAGTGGAGGCTCCCCTTAACTTTTGGCGAACAGGCTTGTACAGTGGATCGACATTGAGGCGGTGGGTAGCTACTTTCGGGTCGATGCCCTCAAGGTCCTCATGCGACCAAGCAAAGATGTCCATATTACGCTTCAAAAAATCAATTAACAGGGGAGCCAGCTCTTCAAAAAGGGAAGAGTCAATGTAAATTCTTCTATCTGGGTGCTCATTTTCTAAGACCACAGGGATGAGTTCCTCGACTGGCTCTCCTCTTTCTGTTGCGGAGTCATCCCTTGGGTCAAGGACCTCAACCTGCAATGCTTCTTGGGGCTTTCTAGCCTTCATAGAGGATACATGACACTCTCTGGCTGTGATTTGGTCCCCTTTGACCTCTCCGACTCCATTTGAGGTTGGAAAGCGGAGAACGAGATGGTAGGTAGAGGGCACAACTCTTAATGTGTTAAGAGCTGGCCACCCTAATATGATGTTGTAGGCTGACGGACACTCTATTACCAGGAAATTGATCATGACTGTGGAGCTTCGGGGTGTTCCATGTTGTGCACCTCCGTGGGGCCCTCCATGTTGTGCACCTCTGTATGGTACTCCACCTTGGGGTCCTCCATGCTGTGCACCTCCGTGTGGTGCTCCTCCTTGTGGTGCTCCTCCTTGTCTAGCAAGTATGAGTTGCAGTAACTGTTGATTTTGAGCAACCAGTTGCTGCATGGTCTCCAATATTTGCTAAGGATTCGGAGCTAGAGTATCCGGAACAGGGTTGGTAGGCGGGGGAGCAACCTCCTCCTCTCGTGGAAGATTGTCTTCATGTTGGTTCATGGATTGAGTAGTGATCGCTATTAGTTAATGGATGTAATGTTTAGGAGTGAGAATTTTGTCGATTTTTCACAGACGGTGCCAAACTGATGATGCACATAAATGGTTTTGTACACCACCTGTCAAGTGTAGGTAATAAATGCAGTGAAATCAATGAGAAAATTAAAGAAGACAAGATTTATAGTGGTTCGGTTAATTCGACCTACGTCCACTCTTCAATGGCTTCAGTTGTCGGGTATTTTATTAATTCAAAGGAATGGAGAATAGAGATACAAGCTTTGAGAGAATGGAGAATCAAAGAAGCAGTGGTCTCCGGTCGTCTGTCTGTCCTCTGTAAGTATTGGTGGGGCATGTCATTTATAGTAGTCTCCTAACAGATTGAGACTACTTTATAGCAGCTAAGAGATCATTCTTGTGGAGATCATGACTTATCCTCAAGGCTACTTTATCGCAGTTAAGAGATCATTCTAGTGGAGATCATGACTTATCCTCAAGGCTACTTTATAGCACTAAAAGATCATTCTGGTGGAGATCACGACTTATCCTCAACGGAAGGAGGAGGTTGGGGAACTCTTCATGAAACGCGGTCAAAGATTGGACCGTTTCCTTCGGTGGTGCAGATAAGCTTCTCATGCTCTCCTCTTGATGATGTGCTAAGAAAAAAGTCTAATCGGTCTTGGACTGTCTTGGGCTTGGTGGATTCAAAATGAGGTTGGGCTTCTCAACTAGGGTTGGACTTTAACACATAAATTAGACTATTTGAGCTTAACCCATCACTCATAAATACGAGTAAATATTCAGTATATTTGTTATATCACATTAACATTGTTACGTGGTGTAATTGAATAAGCTAACAAAGTGATCCTATTTTTTTAGCAATGTTATTGAGACATAATTTAATGATATAATTTAAGAATTTAATAATTATAACTATTTGATTGTCAGTGATTACAATGCATTAAATCTCCAAATTATATTCTAATAGCATTAGTAAGTTTTTCTTTACATATAGTGGTTACGTAAAAAATAATTATTTGAATAAGTAGGTTAAACTTTTGTTTATTTGGTGAGTTATGGTTGAAATTGAACAATTGCACTAAACGAGAATGGTCGCCCATTGTTAAACATAATGGGCTCGTTTGGTTGCCGTATTAGAAATGAATGAATTAGAGAAAATAATCCGACCCAATACAATATATAAGGACAAAAGACAAGACTAAATATGATATTAGAATAATATATAATTTTATCTAGTGTTTGGTAATACACAACATAAACGTTGGATAGTAATTATTTAATCCAATTGGTTGTTTGGTTAAGGAATTAGTTTATCGTATTAATGTTGAATTAACAAAAATACCCTCAATCAGTGTTTGTTACATTGATGACAATTTGGATTTTATCAGTTAGAGAGTTATAATGGTAAATGTGCAAAATAATACGTTTGAGTTGGATTATAATACCACATCTTTTGGTGGTATTAAAATACCTCTATAATACAGGTCTAACGTATAAAAAATATACGATAAAGATACGTTTTTAAAATTAATACGGTGTTAAATTTACATACCAAACAAAGTATTAGGTCCGATTAAATAAAAAATAATATAATTTAATATTTAATTTCCTCGTAATACGTCTACCAAACGAACCCAATATTTACTCCACAAAAACGCGTAAGCGTGTGGAGAGTGAGAGAGAGGAAGAGAATAGTAAATCAGAATTCTGAAAAGTAAATCCATCCTTTATGATCCGGTGAGAATAATCTTGTACTTGGAACGTCCTAACACATTTTCTAATAAGTTGAACATTTCCCAAATAGCATAGGTAAGATTTGAACCAAGTACTTGAAATACCAGAGAGCCTACGGAGTACGGACAAAAACAATAACAATGTATTGTCTAGGCGCACAAGTGAAGACAGTGAAATACGAAGTTCTTTGGCTTGAAACTCTAATTGTACTTGGGGAACTTCAAAATATCTGTTTCATAGCCACGGTAGTGGAATGGAAATCTCTGGGCTGAAGGACCTGGACCAACATCAACAACCTGGGACGAAGGATGGCATTTACCTTGATCCTGGACTTGATGGGATGCAAGAAGCCTATCCAAGAATGACCAATCGCCAGTAAACCTCCCCTGCTGAATGCAATTGCCTGATGATGTCAACCTCAACAAATTTTGAGAACTCTCCAGGTCCAGGTCCAGGTCGGCCGTGCTGTTCAAGTTCAAGGGGACGGCGATGGGTGATAAGAAGTACGGATGAACAACTGACTCGGGGCTCAATAACTGTGGTAGATGCATCGACCCATCAAAGGTACAATCATATAGTGCTTGCGAATTTTGTTTCAGCTCCACTGGAGTAAATGTAGAACCACCTGCCTTCATGTGGGTCAAGTTTTCTTCTTTAGCAGCTTCAGGTTGGAAATCAGCTCTATTATAATTTTTCTTCTTGAAGACCCTGCACACGACCCATCCATCTTCCTGCTTAAACGGTGACCAGAAGAAAAACATTTTTAATTGATCCCATCAGATCAGATGGGCAACAGCAGATAATTAAAATGAATACATACATACATATATATATATATATATATATATATATATATACACTGTAACTGTAACTGTAATTGTGACTGTGACTGTGAATGAAGGAAGTGCATGATTTATTAGTAACAGTTACCCGAACCTCAGCGTTGTCGTCGTCCAGGCGATACTCATGCATGATCCAATCCGTCTTTTGGCCGTGAGGGGCACGTCCTGTGTAAAAGACAAGAGTTTTTCTCATACCAATCCTATTGGATTTGGAGTTGCTAATTAGGTGAATGGCTTTGTCCCTTCCCGTGGCTTTCCAGAAACCAGCTGCGGTGGCCCGATTTGTCCGAGTTCCAGTCGGATACTTTCTGTCCTTGTGGCTGAAAAAATACCACTCGTTCTGAGGCCCTGATCCAATTCTACATTTGTCTATAATGCCATAAACGAATATGCGGATCAATACTTAGTTATCAAAAGAACTATGCTGTTTATGTAGTATTATGTGTCACACGAACAAAAGAACTGCAAAAAATAAGCCTGGTTTACCGCCTAAAGTCTTTCTACTCTACATGTTAAAATATTAGCTAGCTATTACAGGACTCTTCAATTCCATCCGAAACACAGCTACTTAACTTACCAGCAATGCTATAGAGATTTAATTTGAGGACATAATTGAAGAACTACTTCAATGTAGTCATTAAGTCTTCAAATTAAATTCAAATAATATTTTCCTTTATTTGCAGATAGACAAAATAAAGGTCCAAGAACAAAGAGAAAGAGGATAGAGAAGTGCTCTGACCTTTGAGGTCCCAAGGCTCAAGTTTGTTGAGATCTACGTCCCTTATAACATCAAGGTCAATGGTTTCATAAGAGACCTTCTTCCTCAGGTAATAATAAAGCAACTCTTCATCTGTAGGATGAAATCGAAAGCCAGGAGGAACAGAAAGCTGACCGTTTCCTGGCATCATCTTCTGTTGAGGACCCTACCTACAAATTGAAAAGGATTGTCACAAAAAGGAGGCTAGCTAGTTCCAATTATAGGGATGGAAACATGGTGAAGAAAAGTAAAACCCAAATGGAGAGTCCTAAAGACTCTTTTTCTGTTGAAGTGACCTATCGGATCGAAACATAGACCATGTATGCAAGATTGCTAGAGCAAGCAACGAAAGCTTTTTGAAAAGAAAATAAGGGAACATTGAAGATAAAAAGCCCTAGGTACCCTTACCCCATGGAACTAACAAGAAAAGAAGAAAAAAAGGAAAAGGAAAAGGAAAAGGAAAAACATTAATTGTTTGGGCATGCATGGGAGACGGATCACTTAATTGCTGATTACTTCTTCGTCGAACTCTTCACCTCAACAATCTTACAGTTTGCTTTGAAGGCCACACCTTCTTTCGTAGTTTCTTTAGTAGGAAGGTGAATGCAGATGGTAAAAAATGCTCAAGACAAATTGGAAATGGTATCTGTTGTTTTTCATTGGGATCATCTTCCTCGAAACGCAATATAATATCTTTTATTGGTAGCTACTAAACCAATTCCATGCATACATAACTCAAAAACTCATTTTCTTCTTCTGGGAAACAGATTACATGTAGATCTGAAAAAAGAATGGGGTAGGGTAGGACACGGTTGGAGAGCAACACAGCAGAAGGTTCTTTGTTTTTCTAATAACTTCTTCATCGTAACGTAACGCAAAGACAAAAAAAAAAAAAGAACGCAAGGGCAGGGTAAAAATAGCCCACTCACTTTATTTGTGGAATTAGTGAAATGCTCGTAACATCATAGAGTAAAGAAGAAGACCTTACGAAAATCATATCCTAAAAAATTGCCATTGCAAATACTTTGGAAAAGTAGAGAGAGAAAGGGAGAGAGTGAAAAGAAGAACAGAAGGGGTGGAGTAAAGGAAGCCTACCTCCGCAAAGGAAATGTTTGTTGCTAGGTTACAAAGAGAAAAGACAAGTGGAACGGGACAGATATGCAGCAGGATGGTCAATTTCGTCGCTTGAAAAGCAAAGCACAGGCACACGGAGTGAGGTTTAAAGGGAAGAAAGAGAAACGTGGTTCAGTGTGAAGGGTAAGAGGACGGAGTTGCTACAATCGAGGAGGACGGGAACAGAAATAAAGAGAAAATATATTATATTATGAAATAGCGAGTAATAGTTGGAACAGATATCGTCTCTTTTGATGGAGGATGGAGGGAGGGTACAATTACAATATGAGACTTTGGAAAATGTCCGTTGAACTGGAGACCCCATCCAGAAATTCGCCGCGTATGAATGAAGAAAATCTGCACAACTGTCAATTGGTATGACATTTCTCTTGTAAGCATCCTCTACCCAATCCTTTTTTAATCATATTTATCCATAATCATTATCATACATGGTCAGAGTCCAAGTGGTATTAATGAATTTCACTCTTTCATTCCATTATTCCGCCATCTATCTATTTGTCCATGTGCAAAAGAGAATGTTATTTGAACCAACAAAATTAATCTAATTTGTTGATTTAACACCGTCTCAATGAAAAAGTTTAATTGTTATGCTCACAAATCACAACAATAATTTTAAACTATATTACTATCACATCATTAAATCAAAAAATTATATTATATTATATTTTTTTTATCTCAATTGCATTACTCACATGCAAAATGTATCAATCGTCCTTACAAAATGTACAAGAGGTTTGTCCTATGTTTACAATTAACAATAAAACGAAATAAAAGTATAATTAAACTGATAGAAGCACTGAAAAATCAAAATTTTTAGTAGTTCCGACTTTACAGAATAAGTCAAGACTAAGTCTAATTAGCTAGTGCTAATGCACTAGATATAAAGGAATTCCAATGACGGATGATAGTTTGATTCTGGGACATGTGGTTTTGCAGGTGAGCATAGAGCATGGATTGGAGGAAAGCAGATGCCTGGAAGTCCGTGAGATTTAGACGTGCTGATCCAACAAAGAGTGCACAATCCAAGGTCTCGGTGGCCTTATACTATTCAAAACCACAAACAAAGCTGGGCGGCTTTATTCACATTCAAAGGGATTCCTACGCAACCTGTCGCCCCAACAACAATGCAATGCATGTGTGTACGTAAATAACACACACACACACTATTTTCCTAGTAACATGATTGCTGGTCAAACACGGAGGCTAAACACGCCATGGTACAGATTTATTACCCCTTGCAATTTCGCCAAATTGCAATGTCAGCGAGTATTATATATATGATCACAAGTGGTGCCGTTGCCTTTACGAACACTGCACAACATTTATATGTAGCCCAATGGTTGGAGTAATCATATATTTTCTACATTTAACCAAGACGATCCGCTCTATAATAGACATTGTACTTGCATTACATAAATTTCAAATATCCCATGAACACCCATCTAAGTATCTCTAAACCATCACATGCATCTTAGACTTGACTCCAGTCCAAAATTGACAAATTATAATAGATAAATTGTGGAGCAACGTTATTGGCGCCTAATTTGGAAACCTAAAAAATTATGTCCCGCAGACCCAACATTGCATCAAGTGTCACTATCAATAGAATTGTCACAATATATTATATCCCCAAATTAGATAGAAATAATATTATCTATAATATAAAACATAACAATTTTCAATAATTAAGCTCATCTGACGGTCTCAAATATACTCATCTAACGACCACCAATATTGATGAGACTTTTCTGAAATACTCCATGATGAAGACACGTGTCCTCGGTATTTACCAAAACACTGTTACTAAGATCAAGCACCATCGGCGCATAAAGGTCCTCGCCCCCGAGGTACTCGTCATATAGGATCATGGCATTTCAGTACGAGTTACAACCAACACGTAACCTCGGTCTGATATGGTACCTCGGTCGGTATACCTCCCTCGGTTCCGAGATGAGCCTTTCCTCGGTGCCGAGAGGTACTCCGTCCTGGACGCTTCCTCTACTCCAGGATAAGCTATTGACGTACAGGTCATTAGCCTAGGCTAGTCTAGGCTATTCATCATGACCTCGTCTTACACAATTAGTGTCAGAACGTACTGGAATGCAGGGGCCACAGCCAATGGGGGATGGACGCGTGGCGTATGATATCACATCGAAGACAGAGAAACCGCATGCCGTTGCTAACACGCGACTTGGAAAAGCAAACGATTAATTACATCATTCCCTTGATGAGACCGCATTCAATGCGGTAAGGCTCGGAAATGAAAGACAATAAATGCTCATAATACAGAGCATTTATTGCATCCTCCCCGAGAGGAGTACATTGTACCGTCGGCATCCCGATGACCCAACATTGATTGCTCGGGATCCCAAGCAGTTAAGAAGAGAAAACATTCCTCATCAGAATCAGTGCGCACACTGTCTGTACCTAATGATCACCTACTGACTACACTGACAGCAATCATTAGCTTTTGAGGTATAAATACTCCTTGCAAAAGGCAAGACGGGAATGCAACAAAAAACTCTTTACTACAATACACACTCAGTGTTTTCTCCTTCCTCTCTCTTTCTCAAAGACTGACTAGATCGTCGGAGGGGATACGCCAGAAAACACTCTGGCGCCCTTCTAACTTGTTCTTCTTTGTTCCAGGAACCTCTTTCAGCCTTACTGGATTGTTCTTCCGCTCCCCCAGGGTCTCCCGTTGCCGTTCCAGGTTACCACCGGACCTCGCAGGCTGTTCCAAGCAACGTGATTGGTCACTCAACTGGCTCATTCGAGTTCACCAAGGGAGAGATCTGTTCTCGTTTTTTTTTTATATTGCGCAGGATCTTGCACGCACAAATATCTCTCTTAAAACTATTTTACATTGGACCGTACCTTCAAACACGAGTTACCTCTAGTTGAAATATACTACATACATGTCCCAACTTTTCTCCAAATTTACTTTCAACAAAAAACAAACAGCCTTGCACATATCGTGCCTAGGTCGCTTAGTGATATATTTGATCTCTCTTCTCCTGTCTCACATAAGTGTCTTGATTGATGTTACATAATTTATCTTGAAACTCGTCTCTTTCTCTTTCACCCCTTTGTGGACGAGCAGTGTTAAGGGCTTTACTTTTTTCACTATGTTACACAAAAATTCTACATAAATTGTATGAGGTAAAACTCTGTAACCTCTTTGGTGAAGATGACGAGGAACTCTTTATGCACGAGCAAAGATCAATGCCAGCTAGGCCTCTCAAAATTCAACACGATATGATTAATCGATACGAATCGACATTAATTAAGCGAATTTAGGTGAGACCTTAACGAATTCGGGTGATAAACGGGATAACCCGTTTAACACATTTAATAAACGGGTTGTGTTCGGAACAAATTTAATAAACAGGTCGTGTTCGGATGAGACCTGTCAACCCGTTTATCGTCTGTTTACCCATTCAAAAAATTAATATAATAAAAAATTAATAATTATTTTCCCAGAAAAAAAAGAAAAACCAAAGCCATCTCAGATCTAGCAAATAATTGAGTTTCAATCTTATAAGACGATCGTATGACTCCTTGGATTTGATTCCCTGCTTGTTTGAGTTTTGTGCTTCCTCGTTTCATCTCCTATTTTGCTTGCAACGCCCTCTTCTCCAACTTTTCACTTTCTGCCTTCAAGGAAGCAATTGATTGCCGTAACTCTTACCCAATGGATGCAAAGCAGCAACAAGAATACCCTCTTTAATCTTTCCAAAGACCATATCCTCATAAGCATTATAATCAGTCTTGACATCTTGAATAGAATCAATGGTTTGATTAAAATGCGCGGATGAGGTGGATCGAATTCGATCGAGACGAGATTTTGTGACTGCAATTGTCATTTCTACGGTTTCTTCAACCGTCTTCTGTGCGTGAACTGTATATAGCTTTATTGGCTTTGAGAGCTTCGAAGGTCTCTTCTTCTTGTTCACCCATGGTCTGAGGATGGTTTAAGCTTGGTCTGAACACAGTGAATGAAGGAGAACACAGTGAAAGATTTTCGGTCTGAAAGCTTTCGACTTCAATCTTACGTCGACAAATTTAAATGAAAGAGATCTCTTGTGCCTATAAAAGGCCGTATGTCTTTCTCACTTGTTTTTGTAAGTGACACCCAACTGAAAATCTTTTAATTAAGAGAGTTCAGATATTGTGGATAATTAATGGAGTTTAAAATTTTAATAGAATAATTTTTTGGTGTGGTTAAAATTTTAATAAAATTAAATATGTTAAACGTGTCGTGTTGTGTTACTTGTTTATTAAACGGTTCGTGTTCGTGTTGAATTTTTTCACCTGTTTATTAAAGATGCCGTGTGCGAGTTTATATGTTTTTCACCCGTCACCTGTTTAACCCGACATGTAATCGTTTAAGCTGACACGTTTGACACCCCTAAAGTATAAATGCAAGGCAGGTTCGCCACTTTGAAAGTATTTCAAGAACTATCTCAAGTATAAATGCAAGGAGATGAAACTTGAAGAGTAGATAGTTTAATTGAGGATTGAGGAAAATAATCATAAATCTGAGAATCAAAATGGAGGTTTTAATCTCATGGAGTTTAAAACCACTAT